AGGCGGGGTGTGCGTGCTCTCCATGTGCTCCCCCCTTCTTTGCGCAGTGAACGGGCTCCAGGCTCGGACCTTTGGCGTCTGGACCCTGCTGTCATCAGTGATCCGCTGTCTCTGCGCCATCGACATCCGCAATAGGACGTATGTAAAGGAGCACCAGAGAAATCCTTCGGTTTGCTTGCTAGTCACAACCTGAGCTTAGAGGGCAGCGCGGAGGAGGTGGGAAATCAAAAGCTGTTCCTGAACTTTCTATAGGGTTGAAAGCGTTCCCCTGAAAAGCTTAAATAGCAGCGCGGGATTGTGTGTAAACTGCTGCTTCTCTCTGCCTCTGTGGGAGAGCCTGCGCATTTCAGTTCTGTTTCTTAGCTCAGGCAGAAATTGGTAGATCTGAGAACTTCTTATGTCACAAATTTCTGAGCTCCAGCTTGGAAAGCATCTTCTGATGGTGTTGCTGCTCTGTTGACATTAAGCAATCGCTAATGCTGTGGTCTGATTGATGCTCGGTACTTCTTTTCCTATGACAGCTCAGCTAAAGACAGTGGCAGGCTGAGAGGCCCCTTGCAGTGGTCTTAACCCGCTGCCTTCTTCCATACACTCTTATCTGGGGCTGAGGACAAGGCCTGAGGTGCAGCCTGATGCTGTGGTGGGAGGCAGGCCATTTCTCCCTGTGGTAACAGAAGTATTTCTGAGAGGGATTTCCAAGCAGGCTGACTCTGGGGCTGTGCTAGACAAAGCCTGTGTTGGAGATTGCTAGAACTCACTCTTTTGTCACCGCCTCCCCCAGCCCTGCAGCAGAAGTCACTGTTCACCTGGCAGCATGTCCTTAGATTGCCTAGGCTTGTCTGTGGTAGGGAGGTGCAGGGACTCAATTATCTGTTTTTAGGGGGTGGTGGCAATGCCAATTACTATGAAGCCAGTTGTTTCTTAGAAGGATTTTCTATCTTGCATCTCTTGGACCTGCTCCCTTTCCACAGTTGTGGCCCCTAGAGGGTAGCAGAGCACAGGTGGGAAGATGTGATGGGTGATGCAGCCTGGAGTCAGCCAAGTCCTGTCGCCCTAGTTCTCGGCTCATCCAGTTCTCACCCTCTTTTTGTGTGCACACATGCTTCTTACTTCACCGGTGCCCTACTCTTGCTCTTCCCTCTTCACCTGCCTTCAGGCCAGATAATGCCTGTGACTTTCAATGTGCCATTGAACAAGCTGCCCCATTTTTCTCTCAGCTGTTGCCCAGGGAGCTTTTGCACCTCACTAGACAAGGGACCAAGTGCCCTCTGTGCTGCCACAGTGAGGACAGAGGGGGCAGCATGCAGGTTTGCCTCTTTTCCACTCAGCCATGCTCATGCCCGTACTATGGGCTATATGATAACCTGCTTCTTTCTGCTCTCCAACAGCCTCTATTACATCACGCTCTTCACCTTCTTTTTGGCCCTTGTTCACTTCCTCTCCGAGGTCTTCATTTACCACACTACAGCCTTGACAATTGGAGTTATGGCACCCCTCATGGTAGCAAGTAAGTAGAGCTCTGCATCCTCCCAAAACAAACTCTCCTTGGAGCTATGACCCCCCAGAAAAACTCTCCACGGGGCTATGAGCTAAGGGCAGGGAGGGGATGGTGGGAGGGAATGTCTCATCTCCTGTCCAGCATTTTATACACAACTTATCCTGTATGTCCATCACAGGTTTCTCTATCTTGGGAATGTTGATTGGGCTGCAGTACCTGGAGGTAGAAGCACTGTCGCAAAACAAGAAGAAAAACTGAAGCTGAGGGCCCTGTGTAGGTCAGCGTTGTCTCCTATCTTCACTGCCAAACTTCCACTAAAGCCGGCTGAACTTCTCCAGGACACCAGTCCCACTGGCAGATCAATATTGGACTGTGTCAATCATTCTTCATTACCAGGTGTTTTTTCTTATCCAGGCAACATGTCAAAGACCAAGTCCTAGGGGAGTTTGTGTCAAAGCTTGCGGGGGGCAGTTGGTGACTGCCTCCCCGAAGGATAGCAGCGAATGTCTCGGGCGTGCCCAGTGCACTAAGGACTTCTTTCCCAGTGTACCTGTGGGGAGGAGGTGTAGAGCTACCCAGGATCCACTGAACACTTTAGACCAGAAAGGGAGAACATGTGCTGCCCCTGGCATTGCTGTGTAACTTGCATGTGTGTGTTCCTCAGGGGCCATTTCTAATAAATGACAGAAAACTGCAAGGTGCTATGTCTGTCTTTCTGCTACACAGCAGTGGGTAGAGGATGTACAACCTCAGAGATAACAGCAGTTTCTACTGTATGTTGCAGGATAAATAATCTCTCTTTACTACAAACCCATCTTTCCCTGACTCCTTCCCACAAAGTTCCAGGTCTGACTGCTCACATCACACACACACACAAAGGGAGTTGTTGCAGCTCTCGCTTCCACAGCGTACTGGTGACAGCAAGCTGCATGCATCTGTGAGCAAGGACTGAGCTACCTTTGCAGTGAGCTATGAAGAAGATGGAGAAAACAGGAACAGGTTGCTTAGACCTAGATGAAATAGTGCCCAAAGCAGATGGGCAGTGCACAGAAGGTAGGAAGGAACCAGCAGGATCTCCTAGCTGGGAAGACGGTGCATGTGCAGAAGACAGACAGGAAAAACACAGAAGGGAAGAAAAGAGCACAACAGTAGCACTGGGCAGAAAGATGATTTTTCGATTCTGCAAAACATTTGAGGCTATTAAAAGAACCAGATGTAGACTGTTTCAACCATTTAATATGAATGTGTCAGGTTTCATTGTACACTTCAAATGTTTTTATTTTACATAAAAACTTCTATTGAAAAGCCATTTTAGACCCCTATCCTCAATCCCAAACTGTCAAAGATAGGACTTGAATTTTTAAATGTATCAAAAGACACTATAATTTCACCCAAAAAATGTTTTGTCAAAAATGGTATGTCAGAAAGGATTATTTTTATCCATTCCACCCGGTTGTGGTTCCCCCCCCAAACGATATATGCATAACTGCATGATTTAAGGAGTATAAGGTCACTTGATGTCTCCACCAGTGGAGGGATACTGGAAAGGAAGGAGAATGGATATGAGGATCTACATTTGTGTTTAGAAAATAAACAGCAGCATACAGAGGGGCAGTGTCTACAAGACACAAGTGCTGGTAAGGCGGCTTCTGCTCCTGTTCTCTATTATAAAGTGGGAAGCCTCCACATTGGAGCAAATCTGGATTCCCATCATACTCAAACCCCTCTCTGTGGCTGCGAAGAGCAACACAGCCTTGGCTGGTTATCTCAATATAACACTTCACAAAAGTTTTTATGTAGTGTTGAAACATGCAAAAGGCACTTTATCATTAAGGAGGAAGACACAGTCCTCAGCCCAGGGAGCTGTGGTTTGACTCACTCCTGTTGCTAGTAAGGAGCTGAGCTTAGGCTGTAGCTTCAACATAAGCTGCAGAACTAGTCCTTGCCTCCAGGTAGAAGGAGGCATATTGGTATTTCTCAGTTACTCCTGATATATAGGAACATCAGGGCAACTTCAGTGAATTCTGAGCAGAGGTTTATCCACAGACAAAGAATGCTTCATCTGGGACAGCCATGTAATAAAACCAGAGCCAGCAGTGGCAAGCGCACTGCTTTGAACTTGCTGATAATGTGCTGAGGCCTCTACCATCACCTGTGCAACACAGAGCATCACAGGCACCGAGGCAGAGCAATCCCTCTTCCTGAGAGCCAGCTGAAAGCTCTTCAGGGCTGCTCACAAAGTAAGCATGGTCCAGCTTCTGCATTTCATGTCACAGCTTGCCTGTGAGAGGAGACACAGGCATGTACAGGGTGTCACCCTCATGTGCTAGCCTGGAACTATGGCTTTTCTCAGCATGTGTGCTTTTTCTTTTCCAAGCATACATGGTGGGATGGGGGGGAGGCAGTGGGTTTTCCCAGCTTTTCCTCCCGAGCAGCAAAATCTCCAAAACAGCAAGATGCACAGGTATAAAGGAAGAGCAACTCCCTTCTTTTGTTTTGTTCTTTCACACTCTCCACAAGCAGTTCACTGGGCTCCTGTCCTGAGGCTGCCCCCCCACCCCCGCCATGGTGCGCATGGAACAGGAGGACAGTGTAGGTAGGTAAGGTGGGAATGAGGGGGGCTGCATCTCCCAGCTCTGCCACCCCTCCATTTCACAGCTTTGATTCCTCAAGGACTATGGGATCAGTGCAGGCTTCTGGCATCACTTTCTGCAAATCAGACAGAGAAAAAACATATGGTTAGGATCCTGGGTGGCCAGACCCAGGCTTCAGAGAGACCAGCTGGCCAGAGGCTGGCTAATTCGCAGCTCCTTGCTAGTGTGCAGAAATCCCCAAAGAAAAATCAGCATCCTCAGAGTGCACCTGGCTCCCTCCTCCTTCTCCAGACCCTTCTACTGCCCAGACAAGGGGCACTGAGGCAGCAGGGCAGAACAAGGATCCCACTTCCCTTAAGCTACTTATTGTAGTCCTCAGACCACAGTTAATTCACAGAAGCTGTACAGGCCCAGATGTCAGCCTCACAGCCAGCTCACTGAAGACATTTCACTGTGACACAAGATCAGCCTCAAAGCGGAGAAGCTGTAGGGCTAGTTCCCTGGGCAAGGGAAGGAACTGGGAACTCTTCCTTCATGCCTGGGGCAGTGCAGTGTGTGTGTAAGCACCAGAGAGAACCTGCATCCTGTGCACCCTCAGGAGGCTCAGCACAGCAACTAGCTCCTCTCTGTCCTTACTCTGGCATGTCTGAGGGCCTCTTCAACGGCCGGACAGATTGCTGTTTCTGCTCATCTTCAAGTCTTTTCATCCCCACCCCCCATTCAGGGCTGGCACCCTCTGCCCCGCTTCTTCCTTGTCCCCAGCTTGGACTTATGGCTGGGATAATTCCACAGAGTGGTACAGATAAGGCCTTCTTCGAAGTTCATTACTCGTACCTTAAAGAGCCGTAAGAAATAAGAGGCAAACATACACAAGTTTTTTTCTGCATAAATCCTATAGAAGAATTAGCCTGATTACTTGAACCCTCCTACAATTTCTTCCCTTAAGATGGAGCGAGCTGTAGAGTCATTTTCCAGAGCAAAAGCAAGGACAACCGAGACTGCTGCCCAATTACCACGCTGTCCTGGGCTGCATGAAACAGCCAAACTTTTGCAATTTGAGTTCAACCTTCCTGGGTGGAGCTTGATGAGCTCCTCTGCTGAGCCCTTCTGGGGTGTGTTAAGATTAGGCCTGAGACTTCTCCTTCCCCAAGGGGATTTCAGATACCTCTCCAAGTTCTGACTCTGCTTAAGTGAGACACCCCAGTAGTCACCAATTCAGAAGACAGCATGCAGATTTGTAAGGGTAAATGTGGAGTCTCCCACAACCTCGGCTCTGAGTTAACTCACTGTGGGGCAAGACTGACATCTGAGGCAGGAGTCAAAGGTGCACAGGAAAGAGGTTCACATCCCCAAGTGCAGTTCAAGAGAAGTTCAGGCAGCGTGGAAGCAAGAGATACAAAACAGCTTCATTTTGAGTAGCCTTTTACACAAACTGCAGGTGAAAAGGTTTTATAGAGGTCAGCAGCAATATCCCAAAGCAGAGGAGCGAGATCAGGAAAGCTTTAAAGAGATGCCTGGAAGCAAAAGCCAGGAAGTGCAAAGAGGGAACTCCTACCAGCAGGAGGGGTAGGGGAGTGCATGAAGTGCTAGAGGTAAGAGTAAGGGGAAAGCTGCATTTAGGCTTAGGAAATCCTACCAGAATGCGTCATGGAAGCACTCTAGCAACTCTGAACAGACTCCTCAAGCACCCTCTTGGGTCTGAACACCACTCACCTGCTGTGGAGCTACAAGAACAGAGGTTTAGGAGATCATCCAGCCTGCAGGGCTCCATGCCTTGGGAAAGGAAGGCTGCTGCTGGGAGTCACAGTACTACAAAAAGGCATGCAGACAGCCTGCCCACGGCTTTGGGATAGGAGGAGAAGGCTGCTTGCCACACAGCACAGAAAGGGAGCAGGGAAGTTTGGGAAGCAGGGGATGGGGTACACACCATTTGTGCCTACTATGCAAAATTCCAGCAGGTTTTTTTTTTATTAGCAGTATTTCACCAGAGAGTAGGCATGCTACAGCTTGCAAGGGACTCTAGTAAGCTACTGAGGGTGGATGCTTGCCCTAATGCCCTAAGTCAGCCTCTAAGTCACACTGGCTTTGGGAGGAAAAAGCAACATGCTTTTGGGTATTCCACTGAGATTCATCAGATGCATCTTTGCATCCAGGCAAACATACAACCAGCAAAAAAAGGTATTGGGCCCTGATTGAGTCCTCACTTATCCAGGACATGGTTTGAGGACACAACAGAATTTCAGTCCTGTTTTAAACAACACAACAGAATTTCAGTCCCGTTTTAAACAAATCCCTTGTTGTGGCTGTATACCTAGAGCAGGTCACTGGTCATCCAAAATCATCCACTTACCAGTGCTCAGCCCCACTGGTAGTGTAACACTCCAGACAAAAGTTTTTAATTTTATTACAATTCAAAAACCAGGACAAATCTGAAACTACTTTACTCCCTACTCTCTGCTATCAAGAATAGGTTCTTCACACACACACACACACACTCTCACAAATTCAATTTATCTACCACTATATAGGACAGGGACAAAGTAGTCTCAAGTGCCCTGAACACACATTAATCAAATTTGCAAGTTTCAAAGAGGCCTAGCAAAGCCCAGTTTGAACGAAAAGACAGTCCTGCCATTTCAGAATCCTGCACTCTGTATGATAGCT